ATTTAAGGCTAGTGCATTCATATCAGATGCAGTTGCTCGCGTCTCTAGAGAAGAGCGACCACGTTGGATAAAGAGCTTCCACCCGTACCCCACCTGCTCCCCCAAGTTCGTAGAGGGATGCTAATGTATAATTATATACACCATCGTGCATCTGCACAGGGACAGAAAGATTGAGACACTAGGACAAAATTTATGGGCAGGCCACAATTATGACAAATACCATCAAGGTATGGAAATGTACCCTCTCCATCTCCATCACGGTCTTGACCTAGTCTTGCAGATCCTAAGGGACTGGGTTGTGGGCTGCTCTGTTTGCCTGTTTGTTTCATTTTTTTTTAAAGGACCTCATTGATATTCAGTGGAATTCCCTTGTAGGACAGGAGTAACTTGAAAAGTCCTGGTATGTGGCTAAATTAATTTACTTCCACTTCTAAGTGCAAGGAATACTGTGAGAAAGAGGAAGCTGTCATGCATTATTTAGTGGTGCAGTGAATTGCACGAGAAGGCCGGTCCTTGGAAAATGTCTAGCTTGCTTGGGAATGGATCTCAGCACCTTAAGGAGGCATGCAAAACCGCATCTGTAATGCACATTTGTGACTTCTGCTCCTGGGTCATCATTTATGAAACCTCCTAGGACCACAACTACAGCCTTGCAACTTGATTTCCCATGTTGCGTGCATGCTGCAGCTGGTGCAAGCGGAGTCCTCTGCAACTTGAAGGTGCAGGATGGGGCAGGCAGCAAGACGACAGCATCCCCCCCTCACCCACTCACTTCAAAATGAAACAAAAGATGAACCTGGCAGCTTTTCTATAGAGGTAGGTCTGTGTGGCAGTTTCAGGGGCTGAGAGCTCCAGGAAATAACAGTCTTCAGAGGGACGGTGAAATACAACCCAGCTCCTTTTCACATGTTACCTAAATTAAGTGACTGAGAAATAAAGGGATTGCATACTTTTCATACCTGCTAACTATGCTCAGCTGGAAATGCTTTGGAAAGCCTGCAAGACTGACAGAATTGTCATAAAACCCAGTGCTCTGTCAAGGTTTATTGGGATGCCATCTGAGGTTCACTCAGGGGAGGGTGTCTCTCCGAGACGGAGAAGCTCATATTTCTGCTCACTGAGGTGTCACTGACACAGTTTAGCATGTGGGATCCAACTCATTTAGGATTCAGTGCCAACTTCATCCACATCATAAAGTGAATCCTGTTTTACAATTCCCTTGAACATTCTCTAAATGATGACATCTGAAAACAAGCAGCACAGTTTATATGCTGGAATTGTACTTTTGAAGTTAATTCTTAACCATAAAATGCCAGGTTTTTAATAGAGATGTACAAACAAAGTGAGGCAGGTGGCGGAGAATGGGGCATGGAGCCATTCAGTGCAAGGTTACTGATGGCTTGAAAGCCCCCCCAGGCATCCATTTATCTGTCTCATTTCTAATGTGCCCATTACTTTGGCGTGTCAGCTGGATGCAAAATGCATGCAAATATATGTAGAAAGAGAGGGGAAGGTGGCCTTGTGGTGCAGGGTCGGGACTGGCACCCAGCGGTCCAGCTGCTCAGGAGTTTTTCTATGAAACAGTTCCCCCCTAAGAAGTGCTGACGGAGCAGAATTTTTTTTTGTGGGGATGTATTTCTTCCAGTGAAATTCAGGTCCAAGATGAAATTCCCGGTCAAGCTACATGGGACAAGAACAGCCACCAGGGACACTTGGCAAAAATGAGGGAAAGCCAGACTCACGTCCCTGTCTTGCTGGATGCTGACATCCCAAGAGAGTCCCCAGATTTAGGAGGCTCTCTTTTTCACTGTCTCCTGTTCCACTTTGTTTAAAAAAAAGTACCGGTAGGATCAAGAACTTGAGTCTGGTTGTCATATCTCGCCGTGCCGTTACCACTGGGCTACGAGACAGTAGACTCTCTCTTGTTTTTATACAAATCATTTTTAAAGGACCTTGATTTCACCCTGATGCAGACTTGGAAGACAACTGACATCTCAGATACTTTCACAGGCCTGGAAAAAACTCCTATGAGTTTTGTTAGGTAACCTTTGTCAAGTCACCTAATCCCTCTGCCAGCTCCCCATCTGCAAAGTAAGGATAAGAGCATGTCCTCTCTCTCTCATGGCCTCTGCTTATTTCCATTACTATATGTTTCTATAGCCATCACCGCAACGGGGCTCTGATCCCAGCAAAGGTCTCCAACTTGCTGTCATTATGCAACAATTTCGGTTAAGTTTTTAATGAGTCCATTCCCATGGTGTGTGGTCCTGACCCAACCCCCCTCCCCAGACACGCACACGCAACTCCTTCCATTTGCAAATTTATTTTGGCCTTCCCATATTTCAAAGACGAACAAGATTTCACCAAGAACCAGAAACTCAGTAGCAGGCAAACTGGCTGTCAGCCAGTGACTGCTCGTCTGTGATCCAATAAATGATAGATAAGTGTGAGTTAACGCTAGGCTTCCAGAACAGGTGTTTACAAAAGCTATAAGTGCATATTTCTTCTAATGCATTCTTCATAAATTATTTGCCAGGACTTTTAGCTCTGCTGTGGAGCAGCACAGGATGGATGTGGAAAGCAGCTTTTATACAGAGATAAAGTGAAACACTTTCAGGGTAATAGTTTGCTTTAAAATTAGCTTTACGTCTCATCTATTATGAAATGTGAAGACACACTTCCAACTGCCTGTGAGATACAGTCAGGCAGGCGCAAGCTACAACAAAGACCTACTTTCCATAATTTTCAATCAGTGTGCGCGAGTCTCCTATTTTCTGCTTTCAAGGATGTAGGCATGGAAGATCCCTGACAGGGTAACCACGGCTGCACGGTACAGTACATCACTGTGCGAACGGCACTGAGACAGACCAGCATCGTTTTGGGAAGCTTTACTCTTGGCTTGCTCTGCTCAAATTGCCTACAGCACTGAAGCGCACTCACCTGCTTGGATTCTCAATGGCTTCGTAATAGCACAGAGCAACTAGGTCTTTACCGTAACAAACAATTTTTTATTATAATTGTGGCAGAAGCAAAGAAAAGGACGTGGGGTGTGGGGGATGACTAGAATATTTGTAACCATCAAGTTAGTACACAGTGTGTGAAGTTGCTTTCCTGGTGTACACTGGTTATGTATGTATGTATGTATTTATAGTGACTTGCATTGTGGTAGCAACACGAGGTAGCAGTCAAGATCAGGGTCTGTTTCTGCTGAACACTTTATAAGCCACTCAGGGTCAGACTCAACCAAGAAGAGCTGGAGTCCAGCATTAATAAATCCCTTTAAATTGCAGCAATTGCTATAATTAAGGAGTCTGCATCCAACGTGCCATCCTCTCTCAAGTTGTCTCTACAGCGCACTGGAGACTTCTGCAGTCCTAGCTGTGTCAATCAAGGGTATGAAGACAGGCGTGTAGGTTGTAGCCATGTTGGTCTAAGGGCATAGGCAGACAAGGTTCCTTGGGTGAATCTGGTACCTTTTATTAGACCAACCCAAATAGCTGGAAAATAATTATTAAGCAAGCTTTCAGGTATGAAGAGGCATTTCACCTACAGGCATGATATCTACCTATTGAGTCAGGTTCATGAGAGACTGTTTTTACTACACCAGGATGAAGGATAGAGTCTCTTGTTTGGCTGCATCCACACTTGGACTGCATTGCCATCATAGTATATTGGTACTCCTGTATCTGTAAAGTATTCCTAATGGAGACAGGTTGTTTTAGATAGCCTGACTGCAATTGCCACTCATTTCTTTGTAAATACATAATTGCCGTTCCATAATCTCATATGCTTGTGGCTGCCAAATCTACACCAACCAAGCCATTTGCTCTAAGCAGGATCCAAAAATAACCTGTCTCATTGCAGCAATCCTCTCCACTTAGCCCGGCTTCTTACTGAAATCAGGTCTTTCCCACTTCCCTTTAAACCCTTTTTATGGACAATGTCTAATTTGATTGGGAAGTAAAAAAGGAACAAGGAGCCGTATAAATGCGAGTCCTGCTAAGTTCTGGGAATCAATCCCCGCTGAGCGTCTCGCTGCAGTTTTGTTAGCATCAACTGAGTGCAGGGAGCTAGGGAAACTGATTGCAAAGTTTCAGGGAGAAAGGAACGTGCGCATGATTTATTCTTTTGTAACTAGACGTATTAAAAGCAATTATTCCAAAATTATATCTCCGACTCCATCCCCATCTATCTTTGAAAACAAATGGAACACATTTAAAAAAAAAAGAGCTAGACCATTTATACTTCTGAGGCAGAAAAAGTGTCACTCTTAAAGGCAATTTATGGCTAATTACACAATTGCTCTATTATGAAGTGCTTGCAGGAAGACTGTGTAGTAAAGAATCAGCGCTTGCAAGGAGAGTTTGAATCAAGTCATTCTTTTGTTGAAATTCCAAGATTTGCCAAGAGCACTTAAAGTAAGTTATTACTTTTTGAGAGATAATGGCTAATTATGTAATTAATTTATTAACTTCTGCAGAGCAAAGTTCCCCGCCCGGTTGTTTAGACCGAAGTATAGAAACATAACTTTTTTGTGAAAAGTTTGAAAAATAAAACCAAGCAATAATCAATGCACCGCATGTTTAAAATCAATGGAATTTATTTTTTAAACAATCATTGCTATTTGACTGGATTTGGGAGTCATGCTGAATGCTGGAGTGACAGCCCTGGAACCTTTAGACTGTAAACCCTTCCTTTCTCGTATGCATGGCACAGCAGGGCCCTGATGTTTGCTGGGGATTTTGGATGCTACAGCAGTATAAAAATTTACTGCTAATATAATAGAGGGTTTGAGTTTTGCCTTTTAACCCTTTTTAGTTATTCACACCAGCAGAAAGCGGGTGCAAGGGGAGTGCACTCTCTTTGCACTGGCATTCATGGCAACACAAGGGACAAGGCGGTAGAGGTTTATGTTCAGTCTTGCAGCAACGGAGAGTTTGCAGAGGAGGAAGCCCCCGTGCAAATTTCCTCTGCAATCCCCACAGCAGCAGAAGACTGGGATCACTGAAAGCACCAGGCTATGCCCACTGGCCAACGGCGCAGGATTTGGGGGACCATGTTGTCCCCTCAGTGTAGGATTGAATTTTCCTCTCGTCCCCCCCATGAACACTCTGGCAACTTTCCTGGCAGCTGCTTAGAAGAAAAGAGGCTTGCTATCCCATTAGGGTAACTAAAGCACAGGGCAAAACCTAACATCTAAGCATCAGTAAATGGTTAGGCAGTCCTTTCTGATGGATAACACGAAAAGAGCCTAAGATGCTGTTGTATGGACATTATCTCACCCACCATTAGAGAGCTACAAAAATGTCTTGGCTAAGAGTTATTTGTGCCTGCTTGACCACCTAGTGCCTTGAAGGTGGATACCATTTGTCCATTATGCCAGCTTTCTGTGGCATAACTGCTATTCAGCCCCAGGCCCTGACACTTCCTCGTGCCTTTTATGCGTCTACTGACTAGACAGCAATTAGGAAGCCAGATCACGGAGCAGAAGATCATCTGGTGGAAAAACAGAACGATGAATTGAGTTTGCCGAGTGACTTGGACCAGACACCCTCCACCCATGCATGCCCCTGGCGCGCGCACACAGCTGAATGCATTAGATAAAGGCTACCTGGCCTGCAGTCTTCTCCTCTTTAAATGCAGGTGAGGATTGGCAGTAAGTTTTGATGAGGTCAAAGATTTCCATACCAAGGCCCACCGAGCATTTACTGGTGGTCTGTGAGGACGTGCTAGTTGCATGGCATTGGATCGATCTTGCTATTCGCAGCTGGTAAACTCCACTGAAAGAAGTAAATAGAAACGTATTATTATTTATTACAGTAGCAACAATAAAGGAAGACGATGTCACTGTGCTAGATACTAGGGGAAAAACTAGCGAGCCAGTCCCAGCCCTTAAATCTTTACCGTGCTAGTAGGTGAGACTTGCACAGCATGGAAAAGAAAGCAGAGCAACACAACTCGCCCAGCGCCTAGCAAGTAGTCAGCGGCAGAGGCAGGACTAGAGCTCGGGCCTGTGACTCCCATTCCAGCTTCTGCTGCACAGAAACACACTGCCTCTAAAAGCTGTGAGTCCAAGATAGCTCGGCTAGGAAGTTCGGAGCTGTGGTGGCGGGGGGGTTTCCTGTAGGATTTAGGCACGTGGCACTGTTGGTTGCAGTTCTCCGTATTGTCAGCACTAAGCTTTTCACTGCAAGTCCATGGTTGTTTCTTTGTGTTGCAGGCGTGCGTTTCTTTCTGCTTGCAAAACGAGTCCCAGTAAATGACAGTTTTCAAAAGGGTGCAGTGTTTTGTCTGCTTTGTTTGCCCCCACCCGATCCCTCTCCATTTGCCAAATACCCTGTATTCTTAATCAGAGCAGGAGCCGCACAGCCACAACATGGCTTTTATGCAAAGTCTCTCTTTAATGCCAGCCAGGAGGACTGTCCTGGGGGGATGAGATGGTTTAATAATCAGCCTCCGTCTTTGATTCTGTTTCTCTATGAAGGATTGCAAATGAGGAAAAGAGGGAGAGACGATTTTCATGCAGACTCTGAACCTTACTAAGCTGAAGGATTAAAAAGCAGGCACCCTTTCTGCCCTAATCCTCACCTAATTTATTTATTTAGTACACACACAAAAAAAATCACTTAAGAACTTTTCCCTCGAATCTCATAGTATTTGGATCCATTTCCTCCCCTCCCCTCCTTCCTGGCTGGGACCCTAGAAACAGAAGTGCCAACATTCACTTTTAGAAAAAAAACCTGGACTTCTGGCATCTCCGGCTCAATTTTACAGCTTCGGATCCAACCAAACTCCTAGAAACAAGGAAAGGCGACTTTCTGTCGCTGCAGGAGAGGACAGCGGTGATGCTGACAATAGCCACTGATAACTTTTGGCACGAAGATTTTTTAATGCAACTTGACATTTCCTTTCACCCTAGGAAATGGTTAAGTCTCCGTGACACACTTCTGAGAGGTTCTGGTTGTTCTTGCCTTTAAAACTTTTAGTACAGACTGCATGGCTTCCCCTGCTGTCCCTGCTCTGGAGTTAGTCCACGGTGCCACATTAGAGATGCACAAAAACTTCCCATTTGGCCATCAAATAGTACTGCAACAAGGGAGGTGCCAGCAGTGCACTGGTCCCGAGGGCCTTCGTGCAGGTGGTGCCAAAATAGTGCCTGTTTTATCAAAGAGAGTGATCATGACTCAACATTAAGAGGATGAATTTGTAACCACCACACCATGTGCATCAGGCACTGCTTTTCATCCTCAGACCATATGCATCTGCTTTTTCAGAGCACATTTGGGCAAAGCACTGGGTTCAACGGCACCATTGCCTCTTTGGAGAGCTTGATCCAGCTGTCTTTAGTGCTTCTTTCAATGTAAAAATCCCAAATTTACATTCAGCACATCTTAGAAAACTCTCATTTTAATCTCTTCTTAAACTACTTAGCCGGACAGCATGATTAGAGCTTCATTTCAGATAATATCCCATAGGTAAATGAACAGTAGCTCATTTTGTAATCAAAGTGCCTTAGTTAATTTGTTTTCATATTCAGTTTATCAGTAGATACACACGAGATGAGTTTCCCCCGCGCCCGCCTGCACACATGTCCACACGCACTGCATTCAGAGAGCAAGAAGAAGGTAAATAGAACGGAGCTATAGGCACACGACCGGTAAAATAGGTGCAATCCCGGAAACCCAAGGGAATACATCAAGGAGCATGCTCTGAACAGGAAGCACAGCCATCAGGTCCCATACGTTTTACTTATGGTTGAATTGAACAAACCTTGTAAGTGTTTGCATGTCACAATCCATCATTCCTTTACGACTTAAAAATGTACAGAGCAGTAACAGGTCTTTCTTTATATTCATATATTCTTGAAAATAAAGTCTGATTCTTTGGGTGCTGGAAATGTCTCTTCTCCGTTGCTGCCTGAGAATTTTTTCATTCCACCCTTCTTCCCTTTCCTAGTCATAATGCATTTCATGTTTTCTTTGCTTTGGTGCATCTTTTAAAATGACACATTTTATCAATTCTTCGGGTAATATTGATGTTTTGCCCTTTTAAACGTGTCATTTGATTTTTCTGATGTTCCACTCATATTCTCCATCTGTTTTCTCTGTAGCGCTTTCATTTGGTGGCAATTTCTCATTAGGTCCCAGAAGGTTTATTCCAGGAGTTGCCTTGAGCTTATTTTTTTTCCTAGTGTTTTGAAACGTTTGACGTGCGGCTGAATTCCTCCAGCACGCCCATGCTCCACATGCAGGTCCTGTCCTCAGAGCAATCTTATTTAAGTATTTCATAGTGCCGAGTACATTTTCTTGCCTTCAAGTTCCCTGTGGATTCAATCAAAGAACAATTTTTAAAAGCCGGTGCAGAGAGAACGCAGTGATGTTTTACATTGAAGACATGTTTTTTCATGGCCTCGTTGAAGACGTTGCCAAAAGAGTAATCCTAGACTATCGGAAAGCGATAAGAAAGCCCATGCGTCCTCCATCCACATCTCATTATTTTGTTGGCTCATTTTTTCCCCTGTTGTGGTAGTTACATTTATGTTACATTCATGACAAGTTAATTCCTACATTTCTGAGACCTCGTTGTCTCGCGGGTGTGAATGACAATGGTCTAGACGTTCAGCAAATGCGATCTCTATAAATGAATGTCAATTCCTTGTCAGCTATTTTGGGAACCGGGTTTCAGGGGATCATCTGCATAATAAAACTGTGCGCCCTCCATGTGAACTTTAATACAAATTGACAGCTTGAATTCAGATGAACGGCAAGCTACGAATGAAGCAAAACCCATTTTAATGGGCACGGTGGTCTTATCAATCAGCGTAGTTTAATGCATGGTGGGACCGAGAAGAGCCGAACCGAAACCTGTAGATATATGCAGCACGTTTCTCCCTGAAGCATCCCCAAACATTTTAAAAAGTGATACATAACCAAATGGGGAACATTGCAGCACCCTTACGGATCCAACATCATTGGGAACTCTGATCGTTCCCATTGGTAAACCATGTTAAAGAAAGGTCTGACCCCTCTATCCTGAATGCTGGCTCAGGACAGGCTGGAATAAGAGGCTGGATATTCAGCTGCAGAAACCCATCCTGCTGGATGAGCCTACAAACTTAACCTCATTTTAGGACCCCGGGGTATCTGAGCTGGCTTGCATGGAACAGGAACAGGCATCTATCTATTTCTCAGGGCAGACTTTCCAAACAAGTCCTGCATCCCCAGTGAAGTGAGAGTTTCAGGAAAGAGCCCAGCTCCTGTTTATACACCTAAGTAAATGGCCCAATTTAGTTGCTGGAAAGGGTGCTGATATTTTGGGAAACTGGGCACCAGTTGTGGAAGCTGAGCTTGTGAAAGCCTAACCCTTGTGAAAAACCTAATGAACAAACTATTCTCGTCACCTTCAGGAAGGGCTTTGCAATTAAGCAAAGCAGGTTTTGGCACATTTACATTATCAACCTCATCCTCTCCATGAGCCATGGGCATCTCATTCAGCAATATCATTTTCCTCCCATTAGATTCAGGTGCCCTTTTACTGCAGGTGCGCTGGCAAGGTGATTTGATTAATTAATGCTGGACAGGATTCCTCTCTAATCTCATTAGCTAATACTGTTTTTGGTTGATTAGCCCTATGTGCATAATTATTCTCAGATTCCATTTGTTATGGTACTCTTGGTGTCTGTTTAGTAAAACGTTAAATTTCCCTGTGGTTTGCCAATGTTTGCAAAATCCAAAAAAAGCTCTTCACTGGTACCTAGAACCTACCTAAGTAGCAAAAGTTATTGCCAATGCCTCCCTAAGCATTTTTTTCTTTTTAACACCAGCAGCTATAAAATGATTTTTAGGCCTTCAATACATAGCTTCTTTATTGCTATATTGAGGGGGAAATTTGTACTTTGGGAAAAAGCTTTGCTAACAAACAAAAGGTTAGTAAATATTATCCATCTTCAGTCTTGGATGCATTTCCAAGAGCTAGTGTGAGTCTTTCCTCAACGTTTCAAATGCATCACCCTCTTTTCCTCTTTAAAGTATTCACCTTTTTTTTAACATGATGTGCACAAAATTGTAGAGTCTGGTTTTACAAATGGAAACAGAAATGAATGAGAATCATTCCTCTTCCTTGGCCTATTTCTAGATTTGGAAGTGTCCCAAACTCATTTTTGGTCTAAAGTGGCTTGGCCACTTGTCACAACTTTGTGATCTTTGAGTTTAACCCACCTCAAAGAAGGGCCTTGTATAGCAAATATTCCAAATGCAAAGAATTGAACTTCTTAAGTTTCTCCCCTTTTTCTTTCACTCAGTTTAGTCCAATGAACTAAGGCATTGCCTGACTCCATTATGTTGATGTTTTTGCTAAAAATCATAGGACAAATTCTAGAACTGCTAAACAGACATTTCAAAACTCTGTAATTTTTACAGAACAAAAAAACCCACAAAACCCCACAATAATATAGGCTATTTAAAACTACCCCCAAGCATGACTTGGTCACGTTTGTCTGAAGGGAAACTTTGGAAAGTAACTATAAGCAATGGGGACAGGGTTATGGGAGAAATCCTGAAACACCCTTAGCTGAAAAAGTACCAAAAGGGAACTATTTCTGCAATCTGATGATCACACCGGCCCTGATCCACCAAAGCATTTAAGCTTTACTAGAAGAATACAAGTACTGCTCTTGATTATATCAGAGCTACTGCTGTGCTAAAAGCTAATAATGTGCATGTGCTTTGCTGCAGCAATGCCAGAATAATCCACACACATAAGAATTAGCCATTAATGAAGCTCTCCACAGTCCTATCAGACTCCATACTACAAAGAGTGTGTGCCTATGGCACACATGAACTCCTTGTATGTGGTCGACTGGTCATTTGGGATACTTGATCCAGAGAAGATCAAGGGCCTGATTTTATTTATTTAATTATTTTAAACACATGTTCTTTGAACATCTGGTCTTTTAAAAATGTTTTTAAGTTGGAATCCTAAAAACTCTGGTACCAAAAACTAGGACAATCTTGGCCACGTGATAAAAATGCACCTCCTCGGAAAGTGCACTGCTGCTGGAACCAGCGGGAGCTGTGCCCAAGTGAGAGCGCTCACAACTGGGTCCATAAACAGAAACGAGAGCAATACTTTTTGAAGACATCCCTTGTCTTTCTTGCTAGACCATTAGTTATTGCTTCTAAGTCCAGTGTTGACCTATGGGCAATCCCTTTGCAAACTATGTCAATATAACGCCCAAAATGTCCTGCTATAAAAGCTGGTTTGGTTTGTGTGCATGTGTGTACAAGAGGGAGATTTTCCAGTACTGCTTGTACAACCTAATCTGAATGGTTTATAACTTTGTTTTCAAAGTGAAAGGCTACTTAGATCTGTCCAAAGTAAAACTGTTGTATTATTTCAGAAAGTCCTTCCAGGTCTAAACCCATCAAGGTTGACTTTAGGAACATTTGATGTTCACTTGCATTACTGTTGCAGATGGCACATTACCCCGGCATGCAGAGCAGGAGACGGTAATGTTTACCATCCTACCTGAGCAGATGTCACTTTATATTAATAAGCAATGGCAACATAACATACGTTTTGCTTTCCCTTTCAATTCCCTTTGCTATGAATACATATATTATCATCATGCCTTATTTCAGCTGCTTGAAAATAAGGCTGCAGCCAGCTGCTTCAACCTTCTCCCTCCCACCAATCTATTTCTTTTTTCAATGCAAGAATTAGGACAGGTAAAAGTGCAAAAGTAAAGGATGGCTTGCACTTTCTTTACAGGAAATATATATTACACTGTTAATTTTAGTGACTTGTTAAAAAGAGTGACAAGACAAGCTGGTGTCTACCTCAGAAAGATGCTTCTGATTTTGATGAAGAAGATACTGATGTGAGCCTCAGAACAGAAGATGTCTTAGCAGGGACGAGAACCTCCGGATAATGCCGGCACCCCGTTGCAAGCAAGGTGGAAAGGAATGGCCTAGATATTATATGTTCCTCTCTCTCATGGGGGTTTCCTCACTACCCACCTCCCTGCCAGATCCATGACAAAGTGGGGCTCTGCTGGAGGAAGCAAACTCTCCTTTGAAGAAGGAAATCAGGTTTGGAGCCGCTGTGCCATTTGTCATTGACTCTTTGATTCATATTTCTCCAGCCCCAGAAAAGGGGAACAGTGACTTTTAATTTGCTTGGGTGTCATTTTCCTTGCAGTCACTCCCATAGATTTATGAACACAGGACAGATTTATCAAAGCCACAGAACATGGATTTGCCCCTGGTCTGGACTGGGTACAACACAGATATATTCACCATGGTGGTTGCATTGGCAGATTACTCACATCCAGAGCTCGCTGCAAACAAACTTCAGGCACAACTGACAAGTTTCTCTCATCAGCTTTGAAGGATTTTGAATCATGGCCTTGGACTTCTCTCCTTGATGTTTTGCTTTTAACAGTGAAGAGCATTCCCATCAGAATAGCGTCATTTAAAAAAAAAGTCCTAGACCCCCTGCCCTTTATTATAGATGGTTCCCAGATACTGGAAGCAACAGCTAATTCCAAATGCAACTATCATGACAGATTAAAGTAGTTGCTATTCTCAACAAGCAAAAAGATAAAGACCCTTTGTGCTTTGAAGACATTGGGACAGTTTCTTCTGCTTGGCCCTCATGCAACTCGGCAGCAACTCTACTGAATCAGCCAAGTTGCGCCATTATCAGTTGATCTGAAACTAAGATCTGGACCGCTTCATCTTCCAGTTTCTTATTAAGCTAACAAAATTAGCTTAAAAATTCCTGCTTTGAAGGAAGCAACTTTTGACCATCACATTTACTTGGCTTTCCATATAACAAACATTGGTTTGTGCTACAGTCTCATTTCGGCCATGGTGTCATTTAATGGAAATGAACAGGCAAAAATGCCTCATCTCATTAAACAGACAAGGTTCCTTGGGTGAATTTGATATCTTTTATTAGACCAACCCAGATAGCTGGAGAAAAGTTATTAAGCAAGCTTTCGGGTTCAAAAACCCTTCGTACGTCCTTAGACCAACACGGCTACAACCTAAACCCCTCATCCCATTAAATACATTCATTGAAAGCCCAGTGTATGCTATTCAGGTGCCACACCACATCCACAACCAGGATAGCAGCACCTGCAAGAAATGCCCTCAGCATCTTCCACAGGTTTCCTTCTTTGAGCATTCACATTTTTATTCATTATCTCTTCATTTCTCAGCCAGGCACAGCTCCGCTAAAAGCAGTGGTTGTTTGTACTAAACAGAGCTAATAGCTGAAGCAGTATTTAATACAACGGGCATGCCTTCCCTACCCTTTCCGCAGGACACTTGAAGGAGGTGGTGGATCCACGTCTCCTTTATTAGTTAATGTGCATCCAGAATCCTTCATCTGTAATTTTTCTGTACTAAAAATGGATGGGTTTTTGTGCTCCGTATAATTTTGAAAGCATTATAGTCTCTATTCTAATGAAAACAGCTAGTTATAAAAATAGCCAGACCTGAATGATATGTTCTTTTTATAAATGCAGTCTCAGGTCTTCACCTTATAATGGAGCTTGGGCATTTTAATGCTTAATGTACTGGGGGCTAAATAATGATTTAATTCATTAGTGGTTGCAGTGGTGTGTGCTTTTTGCCACCTAATGGACTCTCCTACCTTGCAAAAACAGTATGCTATCTTGAAAGAGTGATTCTCAAGCTCTGCTATGCTATGGCCACTCAAGGACCTCCCTCCCCGTTTGAGAGCCCCTTTCCATTTAACACCATGGAAAGAGCAGGCTAACTAAGGGGGAAAAGGGGTCCAGGCCCAGGCAGAGAGCTCCACCTTTTAGAGATAGAGACCTGCTTGGATTAGAGACCACTACACAACCAAGGATACTGTGCTCTCCCCCAACAGCTCTGCTACTGATTGAATGGGAGATCTTGGGCATGACACACAACTACTCTGTACCTTTTTATTTTTACCTATCTGTAAACTGGGGATGAATGGTTCTTGCCCAGCTTTCAGAAGGTAGCTATTGTTTATGAGCAACTGCCATGTGCTCTGGGAATCATGGCTGAAGAGAAAAGGGTGAGATGATTTCTCTCTTCTTCCTCTTTCTTCACAGAAAGGAATTCCTGAATAAATTATTCCATGGCAATCAAAGGGCCCAGTCTTTTGGCTCTGGGGAGGAACAGCTTAACCAGTAACCAAGCAATTCTCCTGGCATGGGCGTGTAAATGCACCGAGAGGCAGCACAACAAGCGTGGCAGGGCCAAGGATATACAGAATCGTATATGTAGAAGGCTGGAGGGGAACCCAGGAAGACATGTAGTGCAAGGCACTGTTAACTACACACTCAAACCCACCCTCCCCAAAATTCATCAGTACCAGACCAAGGACAGGCCCCTGAAATCAAAGCAAAAACAGCTGCAAGATGAAGAGCAAAAGTGTTTTTTTGGGGGGTGGGATTTGGTCCTCTGCTAGCTTCATGCAGCACTTTAGGTGGAACTAAAAATCTGGGGTTGGATCTCTTACATTTGTAACCTCTCTCTCCACCTTAAAGTCCAAATGTCCCTGCTCTGTGACCACATGCAGCCCTACCCAAGTGAACTCACTATCAAAAATGTTGAGTAACTGCCTGCTGGAGTCCATCAATTCAAAGGTAAGGCTGTTTGGGAACTACTCTGATTTGAAGTCAGAAAGGACTGTCTTCAAAAGAAAAAGCAAAAACAATTTGATAAAAGAGAGTCAAGGACACATTTAGCTGCAGAGCAAGCAGAGGTCCACTAAGAGCTCTGAAGAGATGAGAGTGGGAGAGGCATCTTAGATGTTACCTGGAGTCTTAGAAGAGAAATGATACTGGAAGACTATCGGATTAACTGACAGTGTCTAATAAAAAAGGATCTCCACCCAAATCATCCACAAAGTGTGGTGAATCTAAACTTATAGCCAAGTTTCATTGCTTAGACAGAAACTGAGCACCTGGATTGTCTCACAGAGTATCCCAAATCAATAAAAAACAGGGAACTTATCATTCCCTTCCTAATAACAGACCAAAAGAAAAGAAAAGAAAAGAAAGAAAGTGCTCACAAAAACTTATTTCTTAAAAGCAAAGAAACAAAGCTCTTAATCTCCAGCACTAGGCAGCTCTGAACTCTCTCTCCTCCCCCTCAACAGGTTTCTGGGCTTTTAACCTGTTTCCTGTCTCCAATTTGCTAACCTGCTGCACCTGTGTTTCCAGCAGGACTTGAGCTAATCTGGCCTTTCTGGTCATTAGTAGCTCAGCAACCACCAGCATTAACTTCTACTCAGGTTCTTGCAATTACCTGTTTGCCCTTTCCCCAGGTTTTGGAGAGGAACAGCAGGAAACATGGAAGAAAGGAAGGCAAAATGCCACCAAAAAAGAGGAAAGGTCAATTTATTGCTTTTCATGCTCCATTTACATCACCTACACTGCACAACAGGAAAACCAAGAACAGCACGGAAGACCGGACCTCAAAGGGCTAAAAAGCAGCATTTAGAAGCCATTCCTCTCTCGCTGTCCCTCACAGTCTTTTAAAGAGGCAGGTCATTGGGTTTATTTTAGCACCTTCCACAGATTGCAGAATGATAAAAAAATGGGGAAACACCTAAGGGCTGTTAAGTAATGCACGGGATAACCCTTGCAGCACTGAGATGCAACCATGGCATGAATGTTTCAGGTTGGCCATCATAGAGGACAGTCCGGTTGTCCTCTGTCCTCTTTTGATACGAAACCAGACACCTTTATGTCCTCTATTTTTTCTCTTCAAGATAAAAATAGAGCACATAAAGGCATTGGGTTTTATATCAATAGAGCACAGAGTAGCAGAAAACCAGTGTCTTCTATGATGGCCACCCTACCTGCTCGGCCAGGGGGAGCTTTATCATTTCATAGTTGTTCAGGGCTGGAAGGGACCTTGCAGGTCCACCCCCTGCACTTGCACAGAAGACGCCTGGGATCAGACGACCCCAGCAAGATGGGCTCTGGAATGAGGGTCGTTAGACATTTCCTGTGTGACTGTACTGATCCTACTTAACACAGGGCGGGGAGACGGACATATGGGAAAGCAACACAGTAGATCCAGATGAGGAGTCCTGAGCATCCACGCAGAGGCAACGGGGAGATCATTGGCTCCAAGGATCCCCTCTCCTGGCTCCTTCAAGCCGTATTTTGCCAAAAGTAGGAGCCTGGACATCAAAGGAATATTAAAAAGTTAAAAGGTGCTTCTCAAAGGGGAGAAGGGGGTCACTTGTCAGAGCGCCTGTCTGGGATCAGGCTTTCAAAGGTACATTGCACAGCTGTGGAGTGCCTCATAGAGACCTCTGGCCCCCACTGCCTTGTGAACTGGAAGCAGTGCAATGGCCTTATTATGAGACCTATGGGTTTGCCTGTCTCACATCTCAGTATAGCTCCAGGACAGGCTGCCGTGCTGGGACACTTCACTGGCTCCATGCATACAACTGCCTGAGCTGGGATCTCCTTCTGCTTTCTGAGGCAGCACACGTGCAATGGTCACCAAGCGTCTCAGTTCAAAGCTTTCTGGTGCTGTACTGAGGTGCTGTACAGATCTCAAGAGAGACAAAGAGGAGGCAAGCTCCAGTCCAGTGATGGAGAATCCTTTACAACCCTTGGAAAATATCTTCTTCCTGTTTTCCTCATTATTTACTACTTGCTCAATCCCTCTGTGACCTGCAAGCATCATCAGTCATCATTTTATATTTTCTTTTTTGGTCAGTGGCTATAATGTCTAATAGCATAGGTCCAAGAACTGATCCCTCTAGAAGCACTCCCACCACCTTGGGCAGCTCTTTTAAAATGCTTGGATACAAGGTATTCACAGTCATTGATTGGAAAATATCTGAATTGTATTAGATGCTATTTTAAAAATTCCCGAGTTATTGCTAGAATGGAAAATTTATCATCATCATATGATATGACTACAGCATATGACTTTTTTTTTCCAAACACAGAAAATATTTATTGAAAACTTCTGCCTTTTTCTGTATTATTATCGATAATCCTACCATTTTCATCTAGGAGTAGATCAATAATTTTGTTAAAGCTCCATTTTTTCTTAATGTACTTTAAAAACTACTTATTGCTCTTATGTCTGCTGGCTATAGATTTCTTTGTGTCTGTTCATCAATTCTTTATCATTCCTATCTTCTAATTTATAGCCATTGCTATCAACTCCCCTACTTTTTCATTTGTTATGGACTTCTTTGATGTTATTTTATAGATGCTCTTGCTTCCGCTCTAAGCCAAGTTGTTTGCTTTGGCTACATAGCCTTCTTTCTCAATTGTGACTTTTAGGGCACCTTAGATTCATAGATTCATAGATGTTAGGGTCGGAAGGGACCTCTATAGATCATCGAGTCAGACCCCCTGCATAAGCAGGAAAGAGCGCTGGGTCTAGATGACCCCAGCTCGATACTCATCTAACCTCCTCTTGAAGACCCCCAGGGTAGGGGAGAGCACCACCTCCCTTGGGAGCCCGTTCCAGACCCTGGCCACTCGAACTGTGAAGAAGTTCTTCCTAATGTCCAATCTAAATCTGCTCTCTGCTAGCTTGTGGCCATTATTTCTTGTAACCCCCGGGGGCGCCTTGGTGAATAAATACTCACCAATTCCCTTCTGTGCCCCCGTGACGAACTTATAGGCAGCCACAAGGTCGCCTCTCAACCTTCTCTTGCAGAGGCTGAATAGATCCAGTTTCTCTAGTCTCTCCTCGTAAGGCTTGGTCTGTAGGCCCTTAACCATACGAGTGGCCCTTCTCTGAACCCTCTCCAGGTTATC